AGACACAAAGGGCAAAATGAGAATTTTAGAATTATAGAATTCTAAAATTAAATACTCGAAAATAATTAATTGAGAATTAATTATCATTTAAATAATGTGATTATTTAAATTTGAATTTGAATCATGAACATATTTTAAATTTATCCTTTTAAACTTATTTGATAAGTTGTTTAATTTAGAATTCAAATTAATTTAAGTTTGACTTAAATTCGAATTTGAATTTGAATCAAAATTGGACTACAGGATAAATGATGATTTTCTCTTCCTTCCTTATCTGTAAATTGGCGCCACACAGGGATGAAAATCCCCTAGCATGGCCGGCCACAAGGGATAAGAGATAGAGGAGATTTTGTTCAAAATTCAAATAGGAGATAATTGACAAGCTTTATCTTGGAGATAGAGATTGGATTCCTCTAGAAGTTTGACTTCTACTCTATAAATATGAGAATGATAGAAAATTGTGAAGACAATTTTTAAAACAATTTTTAGCCCTAATTGTTAAGGCTGGCCGAAATTCTCAAAACATAGAGAAAGGAAAAAAATTTTCTCCAAAAATTCCACATCGTGCATGTGTTGGTGTTTGTGGAAATTTGAGTGTTTATTGTAACCCGTTTTGTCTCATGTGTGCCCACACACACGTCTTCGTGGATTCTAGGAATTGACGTGGAAAACATTGGTTTTCTAAGCACAAAGCTTTGGAGCAAGGATTGTTCGAGGTCAAAGAACTCAAGTTATCAACCGAGTCGGCCTCCAGGTATTTTTCCTAATTGAGTTCTTAATAAATGAATTAATGAGATTAATTTATTCATGCATAAATTAATATAATCTATAGAGTATCTCAAAGGTTTTATGAAAATTTTTGTTATACACGATCCGCTCCCCGCACCACGCTTCCGCATCCGAATTCAATTCGGAGACCAACAGATCCTGCCACTGATTCTGCTTATCTTGCTGCATAAGGGCTGGTGTGAAGATCAGATTATACACCATTGCCTAGTTATAATCCTCATAGTACTGAAGATCATAATCGCTTACTACTTCAGTTCTTTTCCAATCTTCCGTGGCTAGTAACGCCATAGTTCCTGTAGCCTTCCTGCTAAGGGCGTCAGCTAGCACATTAGTTTTTCCCGGATGAATTTGAAGCATGAAATCATAATCTTCCATGTATTCCATCCATCTCCTCTGCCTGAGATTCAGATCTTTCTAAGTGAACAAGTACTTCAAACTTTTGTGGTCAGAGAAGACCTGAAACTTTACTCCATAGAGATAACATCTCCATATCTTTAGAGCAAATATCACCGCTGCTAATTTCAAATTATGAGTGGGGTAGTTACATTCATGTGGCTTCAATTGGCGAGATGCATAGGCTACAACGCGTCCACCTTTCATCAAAACATAACCAAGTCCACTCCTCGAGGCGTCAGAATATACCTCATATGGCTCTTCGCTGTTAGGTATAGTCAGGACTGGTGCACTTGTCAGTCTGGTCTTCAATTCCTGAAAAGCATGTTCACATTCAGCATCCCATTCGAATCTGACTTCTTTCTTGGTCAACCGACTCATTGGTGCAGCAATGCTCAAGAAGTCCTTTACGAAACGTCGATAGTATCCTGCTAGTCTGAGGAAACTTCAAATCTCTGCCACATTCTTCGGCCTTTCCCACTGTAGCAGAGTCTTGATCTTAGAAGGATCTACAAAAATTCTTTGTCATGATATCATATGACAAAGGAACTTCACTTCCGTCAGCCAGAAGTCACACTTCTCTTTCTTGGCATACAATTGGTATTCACGAAAAGTTTGAAGAACAATTCTCAAATGATGCTCATGTTCTTCCCAAGTCTTCAAATAAACTAGAATGTCATCGATGAAGACAATCACGAACTGATCTAAGTACGGCCGGAAGATCTGATTCATTAGATCCATGAATGCAGCTAGGGCATTCGTTAGCCCAAAAGGCATCACCAAAAACTCGAAATGCCCATACTGAGTTCTAAAAGCAGTTTTTGAGATGTCTTCCTCCTTAATCTTAAGCTAATGATATCCTGACCTCAAGTTAATCTTAGAGTGGTACTGTGATCCACCTAATTGATCAAAAAACTCATCGATCCTCGGCAGCGGGTATTTATTCCTCACAGTTACTCTATTCAATTGACGATAGTCAATGCACAACCGGAGAGATCTGTCACACTTCTTCACACACAAAAGAGGTGCACCCCATGGGGAAGTATTGTTCCTGATATATCCTTTTTCTGCTAATTCTCCAAGTTGCTTCATTAATTCTTTCATTTCTGCAGGTGCCATTCGGTAAGGGGGAAAAGAGATAGGAGTCGTTCCCGGAATCAAATCAATATTGAATTTGATCTCCCGATCTGGCGGTAAACTGGGTAACTCATGAGGAAATACATTCGTAAATTCATCCACCACAGGAATTCCCGCATTATCTCCAATTACCTCAGGTTCACCTTCTAACGCAAGAAGGAAGGAAAAACAAGCTAGATTACTATGTCCTCCAACGTTGTATCTCAACAATCATTCTTCCAGGACTGGATTCATATCCGTTTGATAGGTGATTACTGCTCTGGAATTAGTCATCAAAGTCACTCTCCTACGGTAGCAATCAATAATTGCGTCGTATCTTGATAACCAATCCATTCTGAGTACCACATCAAACAGACTCATCGAAAGGATTATCAGGTCAACTCTCAATAGCTCACCTCTAATCGTGATTTCACACGATCTACACACACTAGTTACCTCTACACATCCCAGCGGGGAGTTCAACATCATAGGGGTTTCCAAACTCTCAGCTTTCAATTTCTTCCAAGGATGATCGGGATTTTTGACTCCACATCAACCACTGACTGAGTGTCCAAAACAACAAAATCCACAGGATAGTAGAACTTATCAACTTGCAATAACACATCTTCCACTATTCCTCGTGGTCTCTTAATAGATCGATCGGCCAGTTGCAGAACCACAGATGTGGGCTTAATATCTCTGAGACCTAATTGCGAGTAAACTAAATAAGGCATGAGGTTAACACTCGATCCTAGGTCTAACAATGCTTGGCCAAATTCGCGTGTCCCAATGGTGCAGGAAATGGTGGGACAACCAAGATCTTTATACTTGAGTGGTGTCTTTTGCTCAATCACCGCGCTCACTTGTTCCGTCAAGAATGCAGTCTTCTTGACATGGTGCTTTCTCTTTATAGTGCACAGATCCTTTATAACCTTGGCGTAGGCTGGCACTTGCTTGATCACATGTAGTAAAGGAAGATTGATCTTTAATTGTGTCAAGTGCTCCAGGCTCTCACTTTGATTTTCCGGCACTTTCCCAGCTGGTCGGAGAGCCTGGGGGAAGGGCACCTTTACCGGAATTTTTGTTAGCTCTTCTTTCTCCTGGGCCGATTCTTCATTACTCAAAGTGGTAGTACTTGTTGATGACGTGTCTGAATTCTTACCACTTCGAGTAGTGATGACGTTAACTTCCTTGATATTTTGACCTTCAGAGTTGGAAGTTTGAGCCATGTTTTGTCCTCTCATATTGGACTGGGCTTGTGATGGAAATCTACCGCGCTCTTGAACGGTTAAAGCTTCTGTCAGCTTTGTGATCTGACTTTTTATTTCCTTGTTCTCTTCCACCAGCTGCGTGAGCATTGAATCAACCCTTTGAGTCGTCTTATTTTACGCGTCCATAAAAGCTTTTAAGGTATCCTCTAGAGAATTCCCTTTTGGCTGCATGTTATTCTGAGGCGCAAAATATGTCCTTGGTGGTTGAGATTGTTGTTCTGATCTCTATTGTCCTCCAGATGATTATGCTTGTTGGTTCGAATCTCGCCAACTAAAGTTCGGGTGGTTTTTCCAACCAGGATTGTAAGATTCTGAGAAAGGTTCGTAAGGCTTCTTGTATGTTCCCAATGCATTGCACTACTCCTCATATACCCCTCTCATTTCACTTAAAGTGTGGCAATCCTGAGTTAGATGGCCCATTCCACCACAAACTAAACAAGGCTTATGTGCCTCTGTCCTTGCCACCATGTAGGGTCCTTTACTATCTTTACTTTTAAGGGCCTCAATTTGCTTCGTCAAAGCTTTAACTTGAGCCTTGAGGCTGTCCTCTTCCCTTAATTGATAAACTCCAACTGGTCGGGACCTACTGGTGCTCTCAGTAGCACTCGGCCCAGTCCAAGTATGAGCTTTCTCAGCTAACTCATTCAGGTACTCGATAGCTTCGTCAGGATCCTTTTGGAGAAAATCCCCATTGCACATCATCTGGACAAATTGGCGCTCTCAGATTGTGAGTCCATCGTAGAAATAGCTTACGAGGCGCCAACTTTCATATCCATGGTGGGGACACAGATTTAACAGATCTTTAAAACGCTCTCAAGCTTGATAGAGAGTTTCGTTTTTCTTCTAAGCGAAATTTGAGATCTGTCGTTTCAAATTATTAGTCTTATGATGTGGGAAATACTTGTTGAAGAATGTCGTCGTCATTTCTTCCCACGTACCAATAGACTTAGGCCTAAGAGAATACAACCAGCTTTTGGCCTTGTCCTTCAGAGAAAAAGGAAAAAACTTTAATCTGACGGTGTTTACGGCCTCAGCATGGCTGTGAAAGGTGGTCACCACCTCTTCAAACTCCCGAATGTGTACATATGGATTCTCGTTCTCTAATCCGTGAAAGGTTGGGAGAAGTGCAATCATGCGCGGCTTGAAATCCGTAGGCGGTGCATTTG